AAAAGGTAATCTAGCGGAAGTGTGTTGACTAACAAAGTTATGAAAAAGTATCAGAACTAGAAAAAGTCTATTTATCATACATAAAAATATAGATCAACGAAAATGAATAAAAATGGTTTTAGTGATCACTGAGCTAATTCTTTCGTCCAAGTACTCAATAGGCACTGTTCAGGCTTAGGCCTTCATGTTCTGCAGAGTTTTTGTTTTCAAAGTGGATTAGTTAATATTTTTGTTATTAATTGCCATATTTTTTATTTGTAAATTTATTATTTATATTTTTTGCAGCAAAAATATATGTTGTAATAATTTGTTGCTTGCACAATTTTGTTAATTTGTTGATTGTTTAGTTTTTATTTGTATACTGCAAATTAATGCATATGTTATTTTGAATTATATTAATTTAATACGAAATTGTAAATACACTTATTGTTATTTTGTATATAAATAACAATATGAACAATAAAAGATCAGATCGAAACTTTATACGGCAACAGCTCAAGTGCTAGTCTGCCATTTCAAAATATCTAAAAGTAACAGCTAAAATACTAGAGACTGCTCAAAACTCTACTACAAAACTACTAGTTTATGTGCTACGTAATCTAAACGATTAAAGGATAGCCTTTATTCGTTTTCAGGCACTGTTACTCCACCATAAAAATCACTCTGAACGGTTATTGCACACAAGTTCTTATCAGATAGGACTCGGATTCAAATCCGAGTTGATTTCGCCATGTACTGCGATTTCCTCATCGCTGCTGGAATTCTCTAGGCTTCTCTCTAAGGTTCACTTCTTTTCAACCTGTTTACAGTAGATATACTACTTTCGCAGGCCTCTGTCAAGTAAATTTGCTTTGTTGACAACTGTCTCGTCTTTATGCGTTCTAAAAACCCGCTTTAAATTGTATCAGCTTAATGACCACCTTAAAACCCTTCACAGTTACTACACTAAGAAGAAGATTTAGCGCAATTCCACCAAGATTTTTGCCATCGCTCTCTAAGGCTTAAGGTGAGATCCCACTAAAGGCTTTGATGTTACACTCATCGAGCTAGAATTCTACAATATCCACATTCAATTTACTAACAACCTTACCCACTTTACAACTTCGTCCGATATGTTGACTATGTCATTCAAAACGCTACTCTTACGTATTTGGAACTAAAATAATTCTCTTCGAAAATACAATAACCTTTAATGGCCATCTTAGAACCCTTTACAGTTACTACACCGGAAAGAAGATTAAGCTCAATTTCTGCGACCCCTTCTTTTGGGCTAAAGGTGAGATCGCACTAAAGGTTTTCATACTACACTCATTGAGCTAGATTTCGATTCATTTTGCTGACAAGCTCAAATATCTCTGTGTTGTGCTATCCCCATCTTACAATTTCGTCCGATATGTTGACTATGTCCTTTAAAACGCTACTGTCATGTTAAGTTGCTCTTGTCTTTAAAGAATGGTAGCCCTGCTACTTGCTGTTACTGGACATCTGCACAATAGATGGCAGTTTGACAGTTTGTACTTCGTATGTAAGTTAATTTAGCGTTAAGTGTAAGAACACGATATGTTAATTTTATATAATTAATTATTTTCTATAATATCGAATTAACATAAAAGTATTTCATATTAAAATATACATTAAAGCTTAAATAATAATTTGTTATTTATTATTTTTATTTTATATTAGTTGTGCTTTTTGTTTTTAGGATTATTACTTATTTTTTGAATTTGTGCGATAATTTTTTTGTGCAGTTTTTCTATATAAACAGGTATGTAGTATCTATTATTATTTTAGGCAAATTTTGGGTGGGAAAAAAAACAAATATAAAAAGACAAAAGAAAAAAAAAGGCCATTGAAATTTGAACAACTGGTCCCATTCCACAATTGTTGAAGTTTAATAAGTTAGCCAACTGAAAAAATCGAGCCAATTGCATAAAACTCAATATAAATCAGTGTCGAGCTATGAAATGTGGCAGTTGCCCAAATGGACAAATTTTGGAAATAGTAGACAACTTCACTTAAAATTATTAATACAGTTTCTATCTATCGTTATGTACTTTATATGGATATATAGGAGTCTGTATACATACTATATAAGGATATATATACGTATATAAGAAGGAGAGAGATTTTATATTTGCTTTTTATGTAGTAAGCTGATTTTCCAACCTATTCTACTCTATATTAACTTTTGTTTGAATCATGGAATGCATTTAAAATAGCCAGTGATAAGTATTTCTTTTCTTGATTTTAAAAATGTATTAAAAAAAGTTTGTCAACAAAAAGTTGCAAATTCAATTTAAGTCCCATGACGATTGCCGAATAAAATATTTCACTCCTGCCATTTTTCGTTGGAAACTTTGCTTAAACTATATCAACTGATAGCATCAAAAATTTTAAAGGAACACAAAAAATAAGCCAATATTAAATGAAAATGTTTAGTGAAAAACATGTTTACAATACAAATTGCAGCAGGTCAAATTATAAGCAAATACCAAAATAAAAAACGTGCTTATTACCGATGAATAAAAATTTGGTTTGTGTAACATGAAAGGACGAAAGACGAAACCTACAGAGACATAAATATGAGTATTTAGCATTATTAATCTACTATAGGTTAGGATTGCATACACTCCTATTCGTATTTGGATTCGTATACGGATGCATTATAAGTACGAGCACCAGTTCGAGTATGGAGAATAGAGTGTGGAGTATGGAGTATGGAATATGGAATATAATGCAATTTAACTAATTCAGTTTTATTTACTATTAATTTTGGTAATTAAAATGGACACTTTAAACGAGAGTATAAAAAAAAATAAAATTTAAAAATATCTGACAACTAACTTACTGACAAAGTTTATCTAGTTCTTCCTTTTTAGCGCCACCAATGGAAAACTCTGAGGTTAAATGTAATATTTCGATCGGTTCCGCACATTTGGTAAATTCCTCTTGTCCACATTCTTCGCTGCTCACGGACGTCGTTAGTACGAATGAAACTGAAACAAATCGAAAGTTGTATAATTTTTTTAAAAGAATTAAAAATTAAAAGGAGCAAAAAATCCTGCTACGTAGTACGTACTACGTACTCGTAAGTACGGGTAAGTAAAGCAGAAAAAACTTTAGCAATACAACTTTTGTACTATGATATATAAAAGCGTTCAATATAGTATAGTATAAGAACCAGAAAAAACACTAACGAATTGAACTTAAACTAAAATCGCAGTGGACGAAAGGAATAGATTGTGAAGGATTTTTTCTGTTTTTGCTTGAAAGTTTGCACAAAAGTGGTTAAATAGAAATATTGCATTTTTTATTGTTGTTTCTGGGTAATAATCGTGATAAATGGACGGGATAACTATTCTATAGAATTTGTTCTTTGAAATCGCATAGTTGAAATTACAAAAATGGTTTCCCCTTTCCACCCTTTTCCATCCACCCTTTTCCATCCTTTTCCCGTCCATAGTCACAAAGTAATATCGAAATTATTTAATACTATAAATATTTAGAATAAATATTTTAAAATTTAAATCATATAAAAATCTTTGTTTTAAAACACACAGCCCAATACCACAATAAATAAATATTTTTAACAATGCAAATTTCTTTCAATTTCCGTTTTTTTTACAAAGGTACTTTCTGTGCGATTGGTCTTCGAACCTCCTAACCTCCGTCACATTTCCAGCGCTTCGCAAACAAAAACCGTTTTTCTGTTTGCCCATTTTTGGTCCCAATTGTTGTCCAGCGCATATTTGCTGTTCAATTTATTGCATAACATCAACTTTTTGGTGTATTTTTCCTGGCTTACTTTTTTAAACAATCAATTTTTGGACCCATACCCATACTATTGTATTCCTTATGATAAAAATTGCTTGCCGATTTAAGAACTAAAATTAAAAAAATTGTCCATTAATATATTCATAATAAAATTCATATTAATGAATATGTAGTGTACATACGAGTATGTTGAAAAAAAAAAATAATAATATACTAGTGCCATCATCTACTCTTATATAGCATGAAGGATACTTGATGATTTTGTTAGTGTTTGTTAGCAAATTTATTTATCAAAAATATATATATGATATATGTATATAAATTATATTATCATATTATAAATTGCATTCCTTCAACGGCGGAGTGAGAGGTATAAATTGGGCGAAATCTCATTTGCTATTGAAGAGGCATGAGGAGCATCGAGGAAAGTCAATTCTTAAATATTCATCAAATGTGTAATTACATATGAAACACAAATACATTTCAGTGTCATTTTAAACTAATCGAAAACAATATGCATTTATTCCTTATGATAATTTTTGAGACATATTTGAGCACATATTTAGGATTGTACCAACACTCAAAATGGTGCAAAATAAATATATGGTAGGTATATGGTATACAAGCGGCAAAGCGGTAAAACAGAACATCATAGACAAAATTTAATTTAAGCGATTAAACGAGAAGACACAACCCGACCACCCATCAGCAGCCCATAGTTCTCATTTCACATGTGAATAATACCTTAAACTTAGAATGAATAGAATAAAGAATATACGACCTCTACATTCGTAGAAAAGACTTCGAATCTTTGGACATACGTCTAACTTTAGTTATTGATCCAGAGGCACGAAATGAAACAGGTTTAACACGCCCATTAAAGACGTTAAGACAAGATTTAACTTATCATATACAATAAAGAACGTTCACACGTTGAACTAGGTTAGTTAGTCCATATTATTATTTTGCAGCAGTTTTTCGTAATGTTTGGAAACGGCAAGGTCCACAATTCTTGCTAAGGCTGATTATCTGCACAACAGGTGAAATCTTTACAATTGTTTATATTCCTCTTGATAGAGATCGTAAAACTTGTTATTTAGGAATCCGAGGCACTGTGCATATCTGTATATTATTCAATATACAGTTAGAGTGCAGGTTTTATTAATGATTTGATTTCTATTTAAGTTAGTTAGTTGTGTAGTTCTAGAAAGGGTTTACTTATGATCAATTTTATAAGGGGCAAATTATAGTTTTTTTTAAACTTTTTTGTGCATTTGAAAAAGAAACAATATATTAGCAGTGTTAGCTGTTGTGGTATACATTATGTGCTGGTTTACAGATCGAGTTACATTGTTATTTGTTATGTCTACTAATCTGATTTAGAGATAACATGGCATCTGTTTTTATGAATAAAGATTGTTGGAATTTATTTGTCGCTTAACTTCCAATGATGAATATCAGTTTTTAATATATATCTTCCTAATAGTAGGTAGGTAGGTAGGTTAGAGTGGGGGTATTGTTTCTAAAAAGCTCACTTGAGCTCAAATAATGTCCCATTATGGTACCACAGGAATAGCATAGGTACGTACATAGACAAGGTGCTCAGTATACAACCAATGCTGAAAAAGGTAACGACTCCTCCATTAGGTAAAGGAAAACCAATCTGACAGTTCTATAAACTTGGCTAGGTACCTAATATTACAGGATAACAGCTCGGTCAGGTCAGTGAGAAGAGGGGCCCCGAAGATTTTTAATCTTTTCTTCGCTAAAGTCATATCTCCGATATGACATTGAAGTGTTCAATAAAAGAGTATTTGAAGGATAGATAACCGAATTAAACAACTAAAAACAACCAAAATCGAACTTTACCGATGTCCTATAGATATGTGATAGTTTAGTAAAATCCTACTTCTTGACCTAATAAACTCACAAATTTCAATATTAATTGCCTGTCCAATATCTTACTTCGTTCTGAATGGTTTGAAGGGCGGAAATAGTTTATGGGTTTTGGTTGGAATTATTATTATCATAGTATATATTAGGATACTTATATTATTGTATACGCGACAGCATATATTAATAGCAGTCACTGTTATTTATATATTTGGTAGAGAGCTTACTACGCAATTTGTGCTACGCAGTTTTACTAAATTTACGCTAAGTTATATCTGAACAATGGCACATGTGGAAAGTTAAGTGACATATATGCGACAATGAAACCATAAAATTGATAACCCTGTATTGTTCAGCTACTGGAATCGCACTGTTTGAACAAAAGCTGGTAGCATATGACACATCTACACACAAAAAACGAGTACCAAAATGAAGCCAGTACGAACCCCACCGAAAAAGCTAAAACCAACTGTCACTGTTGATATATTTTTGTGTGTCCCCATAATAAGCTAAACGTAAAAATGACTTTCACAACAGACAGACAATGTAAGGACGAGATATATTGCTGCATATGGGATGAAAACACAAACCGTCATTGGTGTTTCGTTTTAGTTTTTGTGTGCGAATTTAAGTAGAGAATTCCTTATTATCTGTAATTAAAAAAAACGTTTGCGTATCAATAACGTAAGCCTCGTCTTGTATCTCATAAATACATTTCAACGATATGATTCCATTTAAAATCAAAGAGTGATTTGGATAGAAGAAAATTTTGTATCGATTGAAAAAGTAAATGTCTCCTAATCTATTGCCCAGGACTTTTCAATTTTCAACTTTGCAAATGAAAATAAGCCTATTAAAGGACAGTAGTCGTCATAGTAAAAGTAACTTTATTTTTTCAAAATAAAAATATCTACAGATGCATAGAGCATTAATAATATTTTACATAAACAAGTACGAATATACATGTAAAAAGCATAATGTTTAATTATGAGCTCCAATACAGTGTTCGCTCGAAAACTTGAACTAATTAATCTCACAATTTTTGCTTATGTTGGAAACTTTGTTTACCTTTTTGGAGGAGATATGCTCATTTCATTGGGCAGTGAATTGGGCAGTAAAGAAAATATGTTCACGTAATCCATTGTTAACGTTTTCGACCGAGCACTGTATTCATATATTTATAGATTTTTACTGAAACACTGAACACTCAGTTTTGGAATTTAATTTTTGGTCGCTATTTTTTAACTGAAATAATTACAAAAATTTTATGAAAAAAAATTGTTAATGGCTTTCGGTTGAAAATATTTACAAAGAGAATTTTTTACTCCTCAGAAAAATTATTTTGCATATTGATTTTTATTTAATATATTTGTGTTTTTAAATAATTATTTACAATTAGACATATGCAAAATAATTAACCTTAAAGTTTTAACTTTAAAGTCTACTAAAAAGGAAGTTCACGTACGTTTTAAATTTTCATGAGTTTGGAGGAATAGGGAACCATCATGGTTAGGTGGAAGTTTATTTCCTTCTTTGCAGTGTCATTGTATGCTTAACTGTTATGATGATGTCTCTTTGTACCGCACTAGTTTACCTTTGGGAAACTATAAAATAATATTACTGTTTTCAAGGAATAATATGTATAATCCTGCATTTCAGTTAATTAAGTAATTTATATTAAAATACAAAATTATTTAATGACACTCGCAAACGAGTTCATGTAGTTTAAAAACTAGTGCTGTAGAAATTATGCTTTTGTCATTTTTTTAAACATTAAATGTATCTATTAAATCTTTTCTATCATCTCTATTAGACGAACAAGGAGTGTTTAAATTTTAAAACTTGTTAGTTAACTATTTTATAGGTCTTTTATAGGTCTTTTATAATACAAGAATAGAAAGATATATGCTCCATGAATGAGCAGGTTATGGAAAATGTTATGAATAGAAGAGAAAAAGAAGACGAGTAGTAACAATAATAATAATAAATAATAAAATAAATTACGT